CCCCACACACACACACACACACAAACTTTCACTCATCTGGTGGTCCCTGAGCGTACTACATGCATTGCACCCCCTGCAGGTGGCAGAGCTGCTTGACCTGGACCCTTCAGAGTGCGAGAGGCCCGAATTTGCGCTGCTCATGGCCGGCGCAGCGCCACTGCCCGGCAGGTGCGCACGGGGGGTTGGGGCACGGGCTGGTTTTCATGGTGGCAGGATAGCTGCGACTCCGAAACGCGGTGGCTCATGTGGCTGTCTGTCGCATTGCTATCAGCGCACCCACCCAACCCCGTCTTCGCTGCAATGCAGTGAGCCATACGCCCAGTGCTATGGTGGCCATCAGTTCGGGCAGTGGGCCGGGCAGCTGGGTGACGGCCGCGCCATCACCCTGGGCGAGGTGCGTGGAGGGAGGGGGTGCAGGCGTATTCAGTCCCAAAATCGGACTTGCCAGGCTGCCACTTGGCAGGGCGTGCGCACGTGCCCACTCGCATGTACACGCGCGCGCTTGCTCTCGCGCGCGCGCGCGTGTACATGCTCGTGCGCGCGCGCGTACACACACACACAAACACGGGAGCGCGCGCGCACGCATGCACGCACGCACACACACATACACGCACATACTCACAAACACGCACAAGCACACAGAAAGGCTCGAACTTGAAAACACACTCATAGTGCGTACGCAAACATGTCATCCAGGTGGTCAACTCACGCGGCCAGCGATGGGAGCTGCAGCTCAAGGGCGCCGGGCGCACCCCCTACAGCCGCCGCGCCGACGGCCGCGCCGTGCTGCGCTCGAGCCTGCGGGAGTTTGTCTGCTCAGAGGCTATGGCCGCCCTCGGGGTGCGTCATGCCGTGTGTCCAATGGGATGCCTTGGGCCGCCTCTTTGTCTTGCGTGGCGTCTTGTCGCTGCGCGTGCTGAGTGTGTGCATCAGCACCAAACCAAGTTTGGGGTGCGGCATCAGCTTGTGTGCCCAGACGCCTGAGCCGTGCAGTGGTAGGAGAGGCACCGCCATGCATGAGCCAGCGAGGCTGTCACTTGCGGCCTAGCGATGCAAATTGGGTGGTTGCCTTTCCAGGCATGCTGCGCACCTGCTGCGCCGCCGCCGGGCCGCCCTGTTCTGTTTCTGATTGGTGTGTAGGACGCCCACGGCGTTCCCACGCCCCCAGCCTGTTCGCCTTGTTCTGGCTCTCCCAGGTGCCCACCACGCGCGCCCTGAGCCTGGTCAACACGGGCGACAAGGTGATGCGCGACATGTTCTACAACGGCGACGTCAAGTGAGCGGGATTTTCATAGGTTAGAGGGGGATTGCAACTTCCGAGTCGATGCCACAATTGGACGGAAGGAATGATGAGGTTTGGGGAGATAAATGAAAAGTTTTCCGCGTTGTGGTTCTGATTTGCGCCGTGGACGGATTATGCAGTGGAAGGTTTGCTTTCCAGGGCGTTCATCAGACCTCTGATCGCCACAGAGACTGCGGGCAGTGCATGCTGATGTCACCAGTCAGGCAGTGTCTTCAAGGGTGTCTTACGGCCACCCGGTCGGCCGCAGCCTGTACTTTTTGCAGAGCTTCTGCGGCGCCTGCACTGGGCTTGACGATTGGGATGGGCCTTTCCTTTCATCTCCGCAACGTAATCCACGCATGTGCGCATGCATACACACACGCATACGCTCACGCATGCCGTCCCTCCCTCGACACGCGCACACACACACACACATTCTCTCTCTCCCTCTCTCTCTAACGCACAGGTTTGAGCCGGGGGCTGTTGTGTGCCGCGTCTCTCCGTCGTTTGTCCGCTTTGGCACCTTCCAGCTGCCCGTCTCGCGCGGCCCTGAGGAGCACGGCCTGGTGCGGCAGACCGCTGACTACGTGATTCGCCACCACTTCCCCGACATAGAAAAGGAGCATGACGGTGCGGAATTCTGCAGGTCGCTTTTGAATCAGTCAGTTTGACTGGGCGTTGTATCGTGGTTCGAGAGCATGCGCTTTGCACTGGCGGCGGCTGACGTATGGGCGACTCTCGTAAGTTAAATTTTTTTGGCTTGCCCCTTGAGCAATTCTGTTGCGCAGCACCACGCGTGCCATTCTGGCTGTTCTTCATTGAACAAACAAACAACAGCGCATGTGCGCACGCTTGTGGCCCCCTCTCCCCTTGTAGGGGAGGGCAAGTACCTGGCCTGGCTGAGGGAGGTGACGCTGCGCACTGCGCGGCTGGCGGCGGCGTGGCAGGGCGTCGGGTTTGTGCACGGCGTGCTCAACACCGACAACATGAGCATCCTGGGGGTCACCATAGGTGGGGCGCGGCGGTCGGGGTGCGGGATGAGGGGCTGTTTACGAAAGCTTTGCGGAGTTGGTGCTGGGTGCAGGGTCAGAGGGTTTACGAGATGGTTTGTTGTAGGTGAACTCCACGACCTGTATTGTGCTCACCTCAGGTCTCACTGACTGGATTTTGTGAGTGTGTACATGCTCGCCCGCACTTGAAGGCTTAGCAGTGACCCCAGCACGCCATCCATGTGCCGCCACATCCTCGCTTCACACGTTCCGGCTTCTCTCGTCGCCCGAACCAGCTGCCCACCCTCTGCCTCCCATCGCCACTCGCACCCTCCCCCCTTCTGACCGCACCCCGCGCATACGCACACCCATACAAACACACCCATGGTGCCTCCCGAATGTCAGACTACGGGCCCTTCGGCTTCCTGGACAAGTTTGACCCCTTCTGGACCCCAAACCTGACCGATGTCCAGAGCGGCCGCCGCTACTGCTACAGGTGAGCCAGCATGCAGGGCTCAGGGGCGCCTCGCAGGGGCGGCGCGGCCCCCAAACCACCACGGCCGGCCTCCCGCGGCTCACCGGCTGTTGACATCACTGGCGCACACACCCTCTGATTTGCCTCCCTTCCCTCGTCATCAGGATCCCCTCGTCACGTTGCTTCGCACAACCCTTTTTGTACACAGGCATGCAGCATTCCATGGTATACACAGCCATGCGGCATGCCCCAATGCATGTCACCATGCGGCATGCCCTAATGCATGCAACGATGCGGGATGCCTCACCGTACGCCGCGCAGGAACCAGCCCGAGATCTGCCAGTGGAACTGCGCGCAGCTGGCCAACGCGCTGCTGGCCGCGGAGTTGGTGGGCAAAGAGGACGCGGAGCAGGTCATGAGGGAGTACGCAGACGTGAGTAGGGGGG